TTTTGTATTTTTAGTAGAGACAGGGTTTCTCCATGTTGGTCAGGCTGGTCTCGAACTCCCAACCTCAGCTTATCCGCCTGCCTTGGCCTCCCAAAGTTGGGCTTACAGGCATTAGCCACCACACTTAGCTACCCGCAATTCTTTATCCCTCATTAAAAGTTATAGCTCCTGGTCATAATTCAGGCCCTGTATTTGAAAAGAAATATGTAAACCAAATATATAATGATAAAATCCTTCACTCAAAATGTCCAATTCTCGAATAGCTATACAGTTTCTCATGTCATTTAACTCTTGTTGAAATTTGCAACCTTGAAAATGGTACTGTGACCTAAAAGGCTTTGAATTATTGGAAAATAAACTATATAGTCCACATCTAGCAAGCAGGTAACAAAAGAAAATATGTCTAATATACAATGGATTCCTCATGTACAGATTTAAACATAAATTTAGAAATATATACACATTAAACATCTTTCCAAGCATGCATAAGGACTCATTTTCCAAAGTGATCGTTTTTCTTGGCGATGAGAGAGGCCAGTCTTCAAACTAACTATAGGTGGAGCTCCAAACCACAGATTCACCTTCATGTTACTGGTTTTACAGTAGCCTTCTCAAGAAACAACTTCATTGGGTAATTCCAACTCCAGCTGAAAAGAAACATATATGCATGCATTCATAATGCACAAACTTAAAAGATCCCAGTGCATTTGGTACATTTCCCTTTATTTGAATCAGCTCATTCTATATCTTTTTTTCCCCAAGTATTTACTTTTCAAATCTATTTGTCATTTTATGTTCCCAGTGGACTCACAGCAAAAGTTTTAACAATGTAAACAATTTGTCTTTAGTACACATTCCATTTCTGCTTTCATAAGTCCCTCCATTCCCAAGAAATGTTCAAGATAGGCTGTTTAGTGTCTCAATGCATGAAGCTCAAATAGCCTCCCCTTGAGAATATCGGTCATCTTTTAAAGACTTTTTTTCCTTCTAAACCTTCATCCACAAAAGCCTTAAAACAACTGGAACTCAGTTTTTCTGTTTCATTGTGGTAGACCCATGCCAGGCACAGACCCAACAGCATGATAGATATTCAATAAACACTTTCTCAATTAATCAGGACATCTACCCTTGAGGCTTTCTGCTTCTAGCTCTAAGTGCCTTGTAGAGAAGAGTGGGTCCCAAAAGCATAACGGTCATTGTTTTTCACTGTTCATCTCAGCAATCAGCATAATTAGCTAGCCCATTCCTGTTAATCATTTTGGGGACGGTGAGACAATATTTATCTCAACATCTGAACATGCAACGATGTTGAATCACAACATCTGGGTTCACAAGCCATTCTAGGCAGTGGGGAGAGAGCTGTGAGCAAGACAGAAAAAGATCATGTCTTTCTGGAAATTATATTCTAGCGGGGAATGCAAGACAATTAGCAACCCAAATCATATCAGTGATAAGGACTATCAAGATAATTAAAACAGGACCAACTAATGACGGATGACTGGGTGGCTCCTTAGAATGGGTGGTCAGAGAAGTTCTCCTTGAGGGGTTAACATGTAAACTGAGAAATGAATGATAAGGGAGGGCCAGCCAAGTGAAGATCAGGGTAAAAGCACCCCAGAAAGAGGAATCAGCTACGCAAAGTTCTTGAGTGGAAAAGCAGATGTTTGGATGGAGTAGATGGAGAGTATTATGCAAGGAGATTGGGAGATGAAGTTAGAGAGGCAACAGGGGCCGCATCACTCTGTAATCCCCAGTAAGGAGTATGGATGTTTATTCTAAGTGCCATGGGACTTCACTAAAGAGTTTTAAGCCCAGAAGTGATGGAATCTGATTTTTGCTTTAAAAAGACCATTAGCAGCCAGGTGTGGTGACTTACAATTGTAATCCAAGCACTTTGGGTGGCTGAGGTGGGTGGATCGCCTGAGGTCAGGAGGTAAAGACCAGCATGGCCAACATGGCAAAACCCCATCTCTACTAAAAAAAAAAAAATACAAAAATTAGCCAGGTGTGGTGGTGGGTGCCTGTAATCCCAGCTACTCAGGAAGCTGAGGAAATGAGAATTACTTGAACCTGGGAGGCAGAGGTTGCAGCCGAGATTGCGCCACACCGCACTCCAGCCTGGGTGACAGAGCAAGACTCCATCTCAAAAAAAAAAAAAAAAGATCATTAGCTGCTGTTGTAAGAATGCATTATAGTAGGTAAGAATGAATGCCCTCCTGTACTAAAGCAATTGTCCCTCTAGGTATGCCACTTAACACAGGAGTACCAAGTATGCAAGTGAAATACACCTGAAGTCTGGAGTCTTCCTTGTTTTTACCTCCCATGCCCCTCAAAAGCTCCTCTGGGTCTGTGTTTTTCTTTTCCTTTCATTCTTTTTGCTGTTTAGCAATAGGGGTCTTACTATGTTGCCCAGGCTGGGAAGCAGTGGCTATTCACAGGTGAGATCATAGCACACAACAGCCTTAAACTCCTGGGCTCAAGTGATCCTCCTGGGTTTTTTGTTTTGTTTTGTTTTTTGAGAGACAGGGTCTCACTCTGTTGCCCAGGCTGGAGAGCAGTGGTGCAATCATAGCTCGCTATATCCTCAAACTCCTGGGATTAAGCGCTCTTCCTGCCTCAGCCTCCCAAAGTGCTGGGATTATAGGCATGAGCCAGCACACCTGGTCCAGGCCTGTGTTTTCTAAACCTCGATGTTACATATCAGATTAAGAACTTCACATTCTAGGCATCTTTTGCTGCTGCCCAAAAATGAGCAGGTAGGAATGAGCATGCAGGAGTGCAGGAGATCTGACATTGGCATATGCAAGAGGCCAGATGAAGGCTGCTATATTCAGGAAAATTGTTTATGGCCAGGTGTGGGCACCAGAAGGAAAGAGCATCTCAAATCCTACCTTGGTCTTAGTCTACCAAATGAGCTGCTGAAACCTATTTGCTGAAAGAATACCTTCCATGTTTAGCCTCCAATGCTTAGGGCAGGGGTAGGTAGGATATTCTCCTCAGTTACGCCAAGAACATTTTATAGCTCTGATTTCCTGATTGTGTGTACAAAATTGTTTAGTTTTAAACTTTTCCAGTTAAACAAGAAATAAGGAATGTAAAATTTTCACCTTGGCCAAGATTTCCTCATTGTTACAGGTCCCTAGAAAGCTGAGTATTGAACTTTGCCTCAAATATCAAAAAATATAGTCAACATTTACAAATTCTCTCCCTAAAATGACTAGATCCTCCACTTAGCCATTGCCTTAAGAACTGCTAGCAACTGTGCATATTAACTTTCTGATATCAGCAACAGCCTCTATGTGGCTGGCACTGGCTGTTTATGACTATGCACATCCCTTTTATATGTGTGTCTCAGTTATAGCTTCTTAAAGTTTTCTCACCATAATCTTAAAATCTAGGATGTTTGTAAATTCTCTTTACCTGTAAGCTAAACATAAAAAAAAAAAAAGAACTACTTTGGAAATTGTGCTCAATAGGAGTAGATGCCTATGTTTCTTGCCCCACCAGCTCCACTTCTGTGTGTACTTCCACCATAATAGTATCCATCTGCTAGATTTGTTTGCTGATGTATCCCTAACACCTAAAACAGAACCTGGAAGATAGGAAACACTCAGTAAACATTTACTGACTGAGAGGTTGAATGGATTGGATTTTGGCCTGTGTTGCCTCCTGCCAGAACCCTATCTACACTATATGCCCACCCTATGACCGGCATCTCCGGTGCGTCAATTTTTTTAGGCTCAACCCATTATGTGTACATTCTGAAGAGAGTCAGTAGAGAGAGCTTTGAAGATAGAGCATTCTGTACAATTATCTTCCCATATTTATCTGCAGTAGATCCATGAGAGTCAATAGTAGACCCATGTACATTAATGCTTGTCGGGGGCAGAAGGGGAGGTGATGATGCAATTAAGTACTTTCAACCCCAAGTCTGAAAAGTTGATGACTACACAGAATCACTTCAAGTAACTCCAACAGAAATATACACAACAGAGTTTGGGAGAAATGAGAGCTCTGGAGTCTGGCTAGGTGGAGGAGGCAACATCTGAACTAGGGCTTTAAGCTAGACCTTGAAGAATAGGTCATGTCATCACATTAACTAACTCACAGGAAGGCTTCCAAATGTTGGGAAAGTGTCCCTCAGAGACTTAGACTTTTAAACAAAAGCATAACGTTTCACAAAGTCTCCTGAGACAGAATGACTAGCAAGCTTGCAGGACCTTTTTGGAAAGAGAGTGTGTATGGATTCATACAGACACACACCTACATGCAGAACGTGCCACTTTGTATTTGATGCATAAAACCACCTTGTCCCGGTCTCAGGGCAGGAACTGTCATACAGATCTTTGTGTCTCTACTGCTTTTGCATGGTGGCTCTTAGAGATTAAACCCTTTTTTTCGAATATTTTATAGTTTTTTTGACATTAAGAAGTTAGTCTCAGCCCGGTGCAGTGGCACACACCAGTAATCCCAGTACGTTGGGAGGCAGAAGCAGGAAGATTGTTTAAGTCCAGAAGTTGGAGACCACAGTGAGTTTTGATCACACCACTGCACTACTGTGCTGGCCTGGGTGACACTGCAAGGCCTTGTCTTATTTAAAAAAAAAAAGTTAGATTTATGTTCTTTTCTAAGCAGTAACAACTATTGCCTAATATCTAAGACTACCAATTTTGTGTAGAATGTAACGCAAACTGAAAAATACATTCGAAAGACTTCCTGTCCCCCAATTTATAAATCCTGGTTTAGCTAAGCATGCAAGTGTACTGGGATCAGCAATCCCTCCTTAAAAGTAGGAGTACTGTGAGCGTGACGAGGGACTAACCCAAATCGAAAAGTTTTAAAACCAAACCTTAGCTTGGTCATTGGTTCCGCCTTCTTCCTTGTTCCTTTTCCTTTACCAAGATGGCCGCTGTATCGTTCGCTCCTCATTGGTCAGGTTTTCAGCAGGTGATTCACGCCCACCCACTAGCTCTCCATCCCAAGTCCTAAATCCTTGAGAAAGTGATAGACCGACGAGAGGGAGTGGGCGGAGCGGGCGCCGGATGTGACGTTTCCGGAAGCTCCGAGTGTCATCTGCGGGGAAAGGTGGGGAAGGGTCCCGGGAACGTCGTGGGGCAGGGGCTCTGATTGTGGTCGGACTCTGAAGGGGAACGGCTGCCGTGAGTGTGGGGCCTGCAGCCTTCTCTCCCCAAGTCCCCTACGCGGCCTGCCTCGCTCCAGGCACCCGACGGCTTCGGTCTCTGCGGGCTGGCGCCTGACCAGCCAGGCCCAGCGTTTCCCCGCCTACTGCGTTTGAACGATCCTGAAAACCCTGGATGATTGTGCCCGGGGTTGGCAACTTGGTCTTGAGTGCCTTTAAGAAGTGCTCCTCAGGCAGTTGTCAGTGGAGCCCTTCCCACTGTATACGCCCCCTCCGCTCATTCCTGCTACTTCCTTTCTCCTCCTCGTATTTTCCCCTCGGTCCTTTACGCCGCCCTTCCCCCTCATTTGCAGATGCTGCATCCCGTTTTTGGAATTGCTCAACCCGTTGGTACACGGCGCCGCTTCCTGGTCTCGGGAGGTGGTTCCTTTCTTAACCCACAAGAACCTCTCCCAAGAGGTACTGAGATGCAACGACCATCCTCTGTTTCAGTTAACTTAAATGGGCTGTGGACTAGGTTTACTAATTAGGCAACTTGGGGAGGTTTTAGATATGCTTGCGGCTTTCTGAATCCCTAAAGAGGCCTCAGGAGAGATGGACCGTCTCTGCATCCCTAGTAGTCCTCATGGCTTTTGTGCTATTAGTGAGGATGTTTTAGAGGGGAAGCTTTGTGGAGGCATTGTGATCCGAATATTGAAGAGACCTAAAGATGGAATTGGCTAAGATTACCCCTGAAGGAAGAGTTGTGGCAGAAAAGAAAAACAGTGGATAGACAAATGAAACTGAAATGTAAGGATGCCTGGGCGGATTGGAGTCCTGACTGAAGCAAAAGATCTCTGTTGGGGAGGGCCAGTTGCCACAGGGCCTTAAATTCCAAGATTAATTTTACTGTAGCTTGTGTATTCTAGAGCATGCTGATTAGGGCTTGCTGTAATGCAATGTGTATCAATTGCCCGGATTTATTTTGGAGATGATAGTGATGATATCTGGTTGGAATCTGGAATCTGATTCTAACAGCAACTATACCTAGAAAGACTAGAATTGCTGGAGTTTTTGGACCCCAGGAGAGAAATCTGCTGAGTTGGTTGGTTGGTTTTTGCAATCCAAGTTACCATCGTGCCCTCTTGTTATTCAGAGTGCTTAGTCTATGAAGATGACTAAGTGGTTGTTTTCAAGATCCAAATTCCTTGCCATGATGAATGAATGATTTTATAGGTTGACTGTAGTGGTTTAGTGAGCAGAGTTATGATTATGAGCATTAATTCCCAGACCAGCTCCCCTAACTCACCTAGTGCTCAAATATGAAAAGTACACCACAGAAAATGTCAGTTACTCTCAGATTAAATAAAAATGGTCAACCTTTAAGTCAGTTAACAATCCTCATGAAAGTTCACTGAGTGCACTTTGCCAGGTACTGGGGGTGGAGGTATGTGGGTGTCTGAAAGGAGAAATAATAGAAAATGAAAGATACTGCTCCTACTCTTACGGTGCTGTGGGTGGAGCCACCTAATGAAAAGGAATTTGATTAACTTGAACTGAACCAACAGTGAGTTGACCCACTGTGGTTATACTATTTGTTCCACCTAATTATGGGACAGGGATTGTACATTTTTGAGTCTGCCAGTCCTTTCATCATTGTGGTTTGGGGTGAGGGTCTCAGTCTTCTTGTAAGAAAGTCTTTATTTAATAGGAGCCACAGCACTGGGTATGTTTCTCTTATATTTTCTTACTAAGGTAGAGGTCTGTGAGATAAACTGTAAGACACTGCTGGGATGATGGGGGCAATGGTATTGATGCCATCTGTTTTTTCTGTCTCAGAACTTAGTCCTGATGTCTGACCATGGAGATGTGAGCCTCCCGCCCGAAGAACGGGTGAGGGCTCTCTCCCAGCTGGGTAGTGCGGTAGAGGTGAATGAAGATATTCCACCCCGTCGGTACTTCCGCTCTGGAGTTGAGATTATCCGAATGGCATCCATTTATTCTGAGGAAGGCAACATTGAACATGCCTTCATCCTCTATAACAAGTATATCACGTAAGACACCTACAGTTTCCTTTTTCCTTTCTGGTGACGGGCGCCTCACTTACTCAGCTCAAAATTGCTAAAACTACAGAACTTCACAATATCATCAACATTAATCATTTTTGCCGGCGACTCCTACATATTGGCTGTCCTTGCCATTCAAAGACATGAGTGCTGAAGGTGTTATTTTCATGACTCAGTAATTTATGAGTAAGAGATTTAGCTCTTTGGCCTATGCCCACATAGCCCAGCTGTTAGACAAAAGAGTTGGTGGTTAAACTAGACATGTTATGTACTGATGAATGCTTTTACTGTCCTCTTTCTACTAAAGCAGCCAATCATAGAAATATTGTTGGGGTCTAGCAGAGCCAAAATTCCTCATTTCTACTTATTTTGTCGCAAATTGGGTGATACAGGAAACATTTTTTTCCTCTTAACCTTTATCATAATCATGCAAATCATAAAATAGTAATTGCCTACAGTTTGTGTGGCTCATCATAATAAGACCTTTCCCTGGAGCTGTTTATCATCTTAGGGTAGGCAGCGTAAGTAGAAGATTTCAGTACTATTAACAGCAAACAACTCCTAAAACTCTATTGACGGTGAAATGATACATAATTTAGAAAGAGAATAATGTTAAAGGTCTTATTTATCATTTCTAATCTTGTTCTTTCACAATACCAGGAATTATAATGTATTTGGTTCTTAGTAGTTCACCTGCATAATTTCATTTGATCTTCATAGTTCTGTGTGCATGTTGTAGGGCACACTACCCTACATTCTATATATGAGGAAACAAGCTCAGTGTTTGGTGATATGCTCGTGTTTGAAGTGACAAACCTCAGTTTTCTAACTTCTAATTCAGGATTTATTCTACAACATAGGTCCTGTTCTTCTTGTTTTTAGTAATGTTCTATGAGTCAAAGTTAGTCTTTTGAGATCATAGTCAGGAGCCACACTGGCTATTTTTTGGTTATTTTTCTTACTACTGATTTATGAGTAGGCACCATATCCATATATATATATATATATATATATATATATATATATATATATGGTGCCGAATTCAGAGGCATAGAAAAGTAACTATAGTTAAAAGTAAGTCTCGGCTGGGTGTGGTGGCTCTTGCCTGTAATCCCAACACTTTGGGAGGCTGAGGTGGGCAGATCACCTGAGATCAGGAGTTCAAGACCAGCTTAGCCAACATGGCGAACCCCTGTCTCTACTAAAAATACAAAATTAGTCAGTCATGGTGGCGCAAGCCTGTAATCCTAGCTACTCGGGAGGCTGAGGCAGGAAGATCACTTGAAACCAGGAGGCAAAGTTTATAGTGAGCTAAGATTGTGCCACTGCACTCCAGACTAGGCAACAGAGTGAGACTCTTATCTCAAAAAAAAAAAGTCTCCCCACCCACTCCTCTTTTCCCCCTAACCCTCAGTTCTCCTCCCCAGAGATAATCACTCTTGGTAGTTTCTTAGCTGTCTTCCAAGAGATGATATACACATACCAGTTATATCACATTAAGTTTTTGATCACATACTCCTCTAAAGCAGGGCTTTTCAACTTTGGCACTATTGACCTTTTGGGCTGAATTCTTTGTTGCGGAAGCTGTCCTGTGTGTAACAGAATGTTTAGCAGCATCCCTGGTTTCTCCTCACTAGATTCCAGTATCCCTCCTCCCGACAGTGTGACAACCAAAAATATCTCCAGATGTTATCTGATGTTCTCCAAGGAACAGAATCACCTCTGTTTGAAAACCATTGCTCTAAAGAAAAGTATGTGGAAGAGTGGACTGCCTAGGATTCATATTGTAATTGTAAAGTGGAGAAATGGGACTTTATTGTCTTTTTTATTTAGAAGTTTTGTCTGTGTTAAGTGAGAAAACCTTAGACAGATAAGTTAAATTTAACAGAGTTTAATCCAGTAGAAAACAGTTCAGGGAACACTCAGGACCAAAAGTGGTGCAGAATGTTCCACTCTATAGTGGAGGTTGTGCAGACTATATTTATAGTCAGAGAAAAGGAAATGAGATACAGAAATAGTCTGATTGGCTACAGTTCTGTGTTTGCCTTATTTGGTCATGTTTTGGCAGCCGTTAGCCTCTGATTGGCTGGAGGTTTCAGCTGCTATGATTGGTTGAGACTCAGCTGTTTGTTATACTTGTAACCTAACTCTTATGTTAAGTTACAGTTTGTTTATACATTAAATTAGGTTACAGTTCACTATGTTTGGAGGCAGCTTTAACTTAACACCTGTTTTGTTAAAGATCTGTAGTTCTTTAATGCCATTATGCCATGTCATGTGGACTCAATGTTGTTAAGCTTTCATAGAATTATAATTATATTTCTGCTTCTCTTTACTGTTATAAGTTTTTAGTTCATAGGCACACTATTTATTTTCCTGAGAAGTTTTTTTTTGACTACTGTCCTCTTTATACACTCTACTCCTGGTAGGAATAATAGTCTTATATATTTCCTATAAGCTTGTAGATTGTTCTCTCAGAATGAAACCCAGGAGCACAATTCCTTTGGAGAAACACTAATTCAGAAAGTTCAGTAGAATCATGGATTCAGTCTACCAGGTGTTTTCTGAAGGGCTTTCAGAGTCCTATTGCCCCACAATGGAAAGGGCTTTCAGGGCAAAGACCATATTTATTCAACACATATGTATTGAGTATACCTGGGATCTACATGGCACTGCACTAGGTCCTGGACACAGAGTAGTGAGTAAAATGGCCTCTGTCCTTACTGGTGTTCCTTTATAGGTATGGGAGAAGACAGTAAACAGATACGCAAATAAATACAGTTTACCCTTGAACAACACAGAGGTTAGCACCAATCCCCCATGCAATCAAAAATATACATATGACTGGGCATGGTGGCTCACGCCTGTAATCCCACCTACTTTGGAAGCCAAAGTGGGTGCATCACTTGAGGTCAGGAGTTCAAGACCAGACTGGTCAACATGGTGAAACCCCATCTCTACTAAAAATACAAAAATTAGCCTGGTGTGGTGGCGGGTACCTGTAATCCCAACTACTTGGGAGGCTGAGGCAGGAGAATTGCTTGAACTCAGGAGGTGGAGGTTGCAGTAAGCTGAGATCTTCACTACACTCCAGCCTGGGAACAGAGTGAGACCGTGTCTCAAAAAAAAAAAAAAAAGTAAAAAGCATATAATTTTAGACTCTCCAGAAATTTAACTACTAATAGCATACTGTTGTCTGGAAGCTTTATTGATAACGTCCGTTATCACATACTTTGTATATGATATGTATTATGTACTATATTCTTACAGAAAAGCTAAAGAAAGAAGAAAATGTTAAGAAAATAATAAAGAATAGAAAATATAGATACAGTTGATTAAGTGGAAGTGGATCATTATGAAAGTATTCATCCTCATCATCTTCATGTTGAGTAGGCTGAGGAAGAGGAGGGGTTTGTCTTGCTGTCTCAGGGGTGGCAGAGACAGAAGGAAATCCGTGTATAAATGGACCCACAGCATTTAAACCCATGTTGTCTAAAACTCAGCTGTAGTCACGAAATAAGGAAAATGCTATGAAGGCAACAAAAAGAGTACTGTGATGGAGAATAACCAAGGGTTTATGACTAAATAGTCAGCGTAACGTCTGTCTGAGAAGACAAGATTTAAGCCGAGACTTGAGGAATGCAATGAAGTTGGTCATTCCAAGAGCCTCGGGCAGAGCATTAAAACACAGGTAACTGTGTTTTGGAGTGCTTAGGTAGAAAAGACCTTAGCATGTTCTGGGGATTGAAGGACCATTGTGTTTGGAATATAGCCAGAGAAGAGGGAGGTTGACTCCAGATGAGGCTGGAGAGGCAAGTGGGGCTGGATGACATGGGATCCATGGGCCATGGTAAGGAGTCTGTTTTTTATCTTGAGAGTAACAGCAAGCCATTGAAAAGTTTTAAGTGGGATTCAGAGCTAAATTTACTTGTTATTATTATTTTTTTAAAGAGATGAGGTCTCGGCTGGGTGCGATGGCTCGCGCCTGCAATCCCAGCACTTTAGGAGGCTAAGACAGGTGGATCACCTGAGGTCAGGAGTTCAAGACCAGCCTGGCCAACATGGTAAAACCCTGTCTCTACTAAAAATACAAAAATTAGCTGGGTGTGGTGGCCCACGCCTGTAATCCTAGCTACCTGCAAGGCTGAGGGAGGAGACTTGCTTGAACCCGGGCAGTGGAGGTTTCAGTGAGCCGAGATCACACCCCTGCACTCTAGCCTGGGTGACAGAGCAAGACTCTGTCTCAAAAAAAAAAAATAGAGTTGAGGTCTCACTAATGCTGCCCAGGCTGGTCTCGAACTCCTGGATGCAAGTGATCCTTCTGTCTCAGCCTCCCAAAGTGCTGGGATTACAGGCGTGAACCACCATGTCCCACCCGTTTTTTAAAGTATAAATTTTGGCTGTTGTATAGTAAATGGTGGAGCAAGTGTTAAGAGAAGGCAGGGAGACTAGTTAGGAAATTCTTGCAGGCTGGTGACTTGAAGTAGTCTGGCAACATGGAAAGATAGAGATGGATTTGATATTTTGGAGGTCAAGTCCATTGGACTTACTTATCACTTAGGGAAAAAGATACTATGGAGGTTGATGTCATGTTTCTGCCTTGAGCAACTTACGATGGGGTAGTCCATGTACTGAGATGGGAAAAGTGGTATCTAAAGAGGGCTGGGTAGTGGGGGCATTTAAGCAATTATGTTTGAGTTTTTCTTTTCTTTCTTTTTTTTTTTTTTTTTTTTCTTGACGTGTTAAAATTTGAGATGCCTGTGAGATATTCAGGTAGAGATGTCAAGTGGGAGGTTGAAGGTACCAGCCTGAACTCAGAAGACTGGGGTCTGGGCTAGAAATACAGACAAGGGAGTCCCTAGCATACAGTTGGTTCTGAAGTCATGAGAATAGCTGAGATTTTCTAGTAAAGGGGCTCTTAATCTGGGGTCCAGAAACCTCACAGAGATTCACTGATAGAATTCAGGGCATCTGTGAACCTGAATGGG